CAGGACCAGAAGCTAGAGAACTCACCCTTCTTTTGGAAGTGTATGTAGCCTCATTCATCCACAGCAGGTGACTTCCTTCTTTTTTGAACAAAATTTACGCTTTGCGCCAATTTGGATCACATTCACCGACTGCTGCTACCAATGTAGTGCCTCAAATTATCTCGCAGATCCAAAGAAAACTTATCAGTATGGGAGATTTTCCATTAACCTGTAGAATGACTAGGAGACAACAGACATGAAAAGGACTCCATAGCACCAAAATGGCAATCAAAACAACAGCGATCTTAATTAACGCAGCAGAAAGCAGACTCCACTGACGCACTTCACTTACTAACGCTTTGCTCTTACAACTGTCACAGTCTTCAAGTGGAAACGGATGCCACCCAAAGTCGCCTGATTGGGAGCCAAAAGTGGAATAGTAGAAAAAGTAAAGGAAAGTGATGCATTTAGGGACAAAACAAATACTGAGACAAAGGGGCAGACCTCGTCCATTACGACCTCCAAAGAAATTGAAAAACCGGACAGAAGGCAGTGTAAATACTGAATCCACGAGGCAAGGATAGGCACGACAATTCTAGTGCAGAGCAATATCAAAACACTACAGAATTGAATGAACAGTTGGAAAGGAAGGGAGGGGACACAATTTGGAAGGTCTAATCGAGACCAGCCCAGCACATGTACTTTGTGTTCATGAATTCCTTCAGCGCGCCCGGTCCACCCTCGTGGCCAATGCCGGAGTGCTTGACTCCACCAAATGGAGCCTCTGGTGTGCTTACGACACCTGCGTTCACCCCCACCAGACCCGCTTCCATCGCCTCCGCCACGCGCCAGCATTGGCCCACCTCACGCGAAAACATGTAGCCTGCCAGGCCTGAGGGTGTCGAATTGGCCAGTGCCACTGCCTCCGCTTCAGTGCCGAATCTGGCAGGTGGAAGGGGTTGGCGCCTTTTGAGTAATGCTGGTCTTTGCCTACTTCATTATGGTGCAAGTAAAACGACTGGGCCAAGGCAAAGGGGCATTCCGCACACCAAAATGTGGTTTGATTTAAGTCTTGCCTACGAGTGTCTCAGCGGGATTGTTGCCTGTGTGTGTCCGATTTCCCTCATGTGTAGAATGGGTAGAAGAATATTTAAAATGACTTTGTTTTGATTGCCATCCACGAGTCATGTCTGAGGGTCGTTCAATTTCTTACAGAGGAGAAGTTGTCCCAATAGGTTGGAACAGGTGTTTTGCACAATTGCACAGCACTTTTTCTAGTTTCACATGCAAGCTTGAAGCCACCAGCAAGAACGAAACGTCTCGTTGATTCTTGGGTTGCATGAAATGCTGCACAAGCACTGACACTTAGCACAAATTTCTGAGGTGCTATGGGCAATGCATTCGTCCTTTTCAGGGGAAATTAGTCA